CAGGGGAGTGACTGCAGAAGGGTTTGACTTCTGACTGATGTGATAAGATTTTACCATGCATCTGAATATGTCCAAAAATACGTAAATAGATCATATGATGGCAGGTGATTATTATGACTTGAGGAACCCAGAATAGTACGAGACCCAGAACGAGACAAGACTCAAGAGTAGAAAAGTAAACAATGTTTATTATCTACAGTGATAATATGTACAGAACATCTCCTGGAGCTCCTGGAGAGGAAGGATAAGGTCAGGTGAGTCGTTGATGAGGGAACTGAATGTTGATATTGATCCGGTTGGTTTTCTCTTACAGGTCTGGACGTGGTGGTGAGGCACAGAGTTTATCCAGAAACAGCTCCATAGTTGGGGAACCAGGCAGGGCAGGCAAAGTAGGGAAGGCAGGCAAGTGGCAGGAGGGCAAGGAATGAGGAACTGGACCAAAGGAGAACCAGGACTGGACAGGACCCAAGGAGGCATGATAACTGCAGACACAAAAGACAAGGTAAATATCTTAATATTTCTTAGTAATACTGGTCAGAGGCATAAATACCATGAATGCATAAGGCTCCAGTGAAGAGTAGCACTCAACTGCAGCCTTATATAGTACAGGATCTCATCAGGTAGATGGCAGACAGCTAGTGGTAATTAGCAGCCGTCTTGGAGAAGAGAGCTGCAGCCAGTGGTACGCTTACATTACCCCCGAAGAATCGCCCTCAGGCGACCTGAGGCACTTCTCGGGGTGGGCCTTGAAGACGGCAGTGATCAAGCTTGGGTCCAAGACGAAGGAGCAAGGACTCCATGATCTTTCTTCAGGTCCGTAGCCCTCCCAGTCAGCTAGGTAGTGGTAGCCTCGTCCTCAGCGACGCACATCCAGAATGGTCCTCATGGTGAAAGCCGGGTGGTTGTCGATCATCCGGGTGGGTGGAGGGAGGTAGGTTGGAGTGCATAAGGGGCTCTCAGAGATGGGCTTGACCTGGGAAACATGGAAGGTGGGGTGAATCCTCATGGAGCTCTGGAGCTAGAGTCTTACTGCAGAGGGGTTGACAATTTTGGTGATGGGAAAGTGGCATATGAAATGGGGTGCCATCTTGCTGGCTGTGTCTTTTATGTGAATGTCACTGGTAGAGAGCCATTCTTTTTAGCCCACCTGGTATGAAGGAGCAGATGAGCGGTGGTACCCTGAGGTGAGACTTGTAGAAGCCGCCAGAGTTTTGTAAAAACAACGCCACACTTGAGAGATAAATTGTGGTCCACGGTGACTACATTGGTGGGGATGCCGTGGATCCTGAAGACGTGTTGGACAAGCGGATGAGCAGTCTTGAAGGCAGAAGGAAGCTTGGGCAGAGGACTGAAATGGGTTGCTTTTGAAAACATGTCAATGACTATTAGAATGGCGGTGTTACCTTCTGAGGGAAGTAGACCGGTGACGAAATCCACCGAGATGTGGGATCAGGGACGGCTTGGGTGTATGCAGGGGTTGCAGGAGCCCAGCGGGTGGTTTGTTGCCCATTTTGTTCCTGGCACATGTAGAGCAGGCTGTGACAAAAGCCTTCACATCTGGGTTGATAGTAGGCCACCACAAGTGTGTCCTTGCTAGGGTAAGCATACGAGAGGTAACAGGGTGACATGACAGTTTGTTTGTGCGAAGCCAGTCCAATACCTTGGGTCTCAAGGAAGATGGGACGAAGAGGGTTCCGGTGGAGTCCTGTGCCTAGGTCAGGTTAATCCTTTTGGGCTTCAGAAACCTCTTTTTCGATGGCCCAGGTGGTAGGACCAGGCTAATGATGCCACTCTTCCAAAGCCAATTTAACTGCCAACAGTTCTTGGTTGTTCACATCATAGTTTTTCTCAGGCTGGGATAAATGTCGGGAGAAAAAGGCACATGGATGGACCGTATTGTCAGAGGGAGACCTTTGAGACAGTATGGCCCCTACCCCAGTGTCTGAGGCATCCACCTCTAGGATGAATTGGTGCTTGGAGTAAGGATGACAAAGAATTGGGGTAAAAGATAAAAGTATTTCAAGGTTACTAAAAGCAGAGTCTGCTTCAGAGGTTCATTTGAAAGTCCTTGTAGTGGATGTGAGTTGGGACAGGGGTGAAGCAACATGGCTGTAGTCCTTTATGAAGAGTCTGTAAAAGATTGCAAAACCTAGAAAGCCTTGCAACTGCTTCCTGGTCTCTGGGACACGCCACTCCACCACTGCCTTGTTTTTTTTTTCTGGGTCATTCCTGTAATGTCCTCCCTTGAATATAAAACCTAGGAAGGAGACAGATATTGTATGAAATTTGCACTTTTCATCTTTTGCAAATAGCTGGTTCTCATAAAGTCTTTGTAGTACAGTCTTGACTTGTCTGGTGTATTCAGCCTCATTGTGTGAGTAAATGAGGATTCATCCAAGTACACAAATACAAAATCTCCAATAAAGTTTCTCAACATATCATTGACTAGGGCCTGGAAACATGCAGGGGTGTTAGTTAAGTCAAATGGCATAACCAGATAATGTGTCTGAGTGTTGTTCTGAAAGCTATTTTTTCACTCCCTTAGAGATAGGGTGAGAAGCTCTGTCATCTGGGAGGGTTTCAGATAGAACTTCTGCTTCTCCACGTCGAAAGAAGCCAGTTGAGGTGGCTTGGGCATCTGGTTAGGATGCCTCCTGGTGAGGTGTCCCGGATACGTCCCACCTGGAGGAGACCCAGAGGAAGACCCAGGACACTCTGGAGGGACTGTTTCTCGGTGGGCCTGGAAACGCCTTGGGATTCCCCTGGAAGAGCTGGCCCAAGTGGCTGGGGAGAGGGAAGTCTGGGCCTCCCTACTTAGGCTGCTATCCCCACGACCCAACTCCAAATAAGCGGAAGAAAATGGATGGATGGATGGATATTGTTCAATCCTCTGCAATCAATACACGGCCGAAGGGTTTTATCCTTTTTGATTGCAAAGAAAAATCCTGCCCCTACAGGAGAGGTGAAGGGCCTGAGTTGAGACTCATATTTTTTCATGGAGTCCCTTTTGGGACCTGAGAGGTTGTTCAGTCGAAAAGCAGGTAAGGAGGAGACAGGGAGAAAATCAATAGTGCAGTCGTACGTGCTGTGGGGAGGTAGAAATAAAGCTCTGTTTACTAAAAACAGGGGCAAGATCGTGGTAAATTGAGGGAATAGTAGTAACATCAACCTCTTCTTTAGGAGGGTCACACTTAAGCCCCCAGTATACTCCCGCGTACATCTATACGCGGAGGTACGTACGTATGTACGCGGAGGTACGAGTGTACCCCCCAGGGCATGTCCACGCAAAGCTCAATTTTTACGACCGCGTACGCGGTGTCGCACAATAAACTGCCTGGCAACGGACTGTTTTTATGTGACACCAATTTATTAAATTCTCCTTCTTCATCCCTGATCTGGCCTTTTATTTTGCTTTTTTTTGCCAAGAGGCAAGTGATCTCTTCCTCCTCCGTTGATGCCATGACTGAAATGGTGAGAAATGAAGGAATTTGTCACGAGCGAATTAAACTCAGGTCCAGCATGACTGCGGGAGGGTCTGGAGATTTCCTGGTGGGCTGGTCTGATGTGTGGGCTGCAGAGCCAGTGCTCCATGTTTTGTTTTTTTTGTTTGTTTGTTTTTTAGATCTTTTTATTAACATATAAACACAGAACACAGCTGTGGCTGAGGCTGCCAGCGCTTTTTTGTTTTTATGACCTGTCAATCAATCCAGTAGGCGTGTCAGCAAATGACCAATCAGCTACCTCAATTTGTCCCGAAGGTAAACGCCCCTTGTCTTTGGAGCTGACTGCAGCCGCTCAGGGTGAATGCTCGAGTATGAAGTCTGAACCCTCTGCGTACAGTACACGCGTGCGTACGCATGAACAGACGTACGCAGGAGTATACTGGGGGCTTTAGAGTGGCTAGAAATGGCGGAGCGTAAACAGTGCTTTAAGCATTTGTTGCTCCATCCCTGCACTCACCCGAGTTCCCAATTCATGTAATAATTTTAAATTTTAAAAATTGAGCACCTGTGTACAGCCCACAAGTGCAGGGGGAAGCTCCCTCCTGCATTTCTTCTCCGGCTGCAGCAGCTTCGTGAAGGGTTAACCCTTTGCTGTCCAATTGCACCAATCAAATTTTGTCTTCCAACTTAAAATTCAAAGTATGCCACATCATAAAATCATCATAATCACAAAATATAAAAGTGTTAAAAGTTGTTTTTTATTATTTTAGAACTTCTGTGTTCAGTTGTTACAGTGTAATTGATCAAGAAGTATATTTCTGCTCGTGCTGCAGAGCTGCGCCCTTTGATGTCCTGCTGCACTTCTCAATTTAAATTTAAATACTGTAATATTTTTAAATAAACAATCCATGCTGCATGGATTGTTTATTTAAAATATTACAGTATTTAAATTTAAATTGTTTATTTACACAAGGAGGGAGATTGGGAGTAACAGGTGATGAGTAAGTGTGATTGCAGCCTGTCACATCACAACAAAGTTTACTGTACTTGAACCTGAACTTGGACTACTGTATCCCTACTTTGTTGTTTTTCACTTATATTGCACACGCGCATGTGTGTGTGTGTGTGTGCGTGCGTGCGTGCGTGCGTGTGTGTGTGTGCGTGTGTGTGTGGTACAGAACTCCCGCGATAAACAAGGGACTACTGTAATCCCAGGTCAAAAATTAGACGAAACTCCTTTATGAAAAGTTCGTATGACACAGAGTCTGAATAATGAGATTGCAGAAATTAATTAGCCCACCAGAGTGTGTTACCTTTTAACTGGTTGGTGAAGTGATTTTTGTAATATTCGAGGTGTAGAGTTGAGGAGCCCCACTGAATGCAAGCTTACATTGGAGGAGGAAACCTCCACAATGGTCAGGATCTCCAGAAAACAATTCAGAAGGTTTTATGCTTACCTGCTGAGTGGTGGTATTTGATTCAGGAGTCGTTCTAGAGGAACTTGGTGTCCGTGGAATGGTGGGAACTGTAGGAGGAGATGGTGAGAGTCTCTGGTTAATAAAAAAAAAAAAAAAAAACATACCTCCTAGTTCCTGCATGTAGCTTGCTGCTATGATTCGTTGCAACATTTCCTCTAATTTGGCGATGCGTTTGTCCTGGGAGGTCAAATGGAGCTCCTGGTCTCGTTCTGGGTCTTTTTGGCTGGAGCATTTCTGTTCTGACTCAAGGAACCCAGATTGATAGGAGACCCTGAACGAGACAAGACTCGGGAGTAGAAAAGTGAACAGTGTTTATTATTTACAGTGAGAATATATACAGAAGATCTCCTGGAGCCCCTGGGGAGGAAGGATAAGGTCAAGTGGGTTGTTAATGAGGGAACTGAATGTTGATATTGATCCGGATGGTTTTTCTCTTACAGGTCTGGACGTGGTGGTGAGGCACAGAGTTTATCCAGAAACAGCTCCATAGATGGGGAACCAGGCAAGGCAGGCAATTTGCAGGAGGGCAAGGCACGAGGAACCGGACCGAAGGAGAACCAGGACTGGACAGGACCCAAGGAAGCAGGATAACTGCATGCACAAAAGACAAGGTAAGTATCTTAATATTTCTTAGTAATACTGGCCAGAGGCATAAATACCATAAATGCATAAGGCTCCAGTGAAGAGTAGCACTCAACTGCAGCCTTATATAGTGCAGGATCTCATCAGGTAGATGGCCGACAGTTTGTGGTAATTAGAGGCCATCTTGGAGAGGAGAGCTGCAGCCAGTGGTACTCTGATACAAATGAGATTACTTCTAGTCTTGACATAAAAACCTTTGTTTGTTTTCTTAAAACTTGATGGTTTAACTTTAGGTTTAAGATCCAATGTTTGTCTCAACAAGTAGCACATTGTCCGAGTTATATGAGCTTATCAAAAAGATTGTCTGCCTCTTCTTTCTGTGATTCTTTACATGTTTCTCCTGTAAATGAAACCAACTGTGTCAACGTGCCACCTGTCTAACTACAAGTAAATAATTAAAATCATGTGGTTGTGTACGTTTCAGACGTCGATAGGGCTCCTCTTCAGTGTTGGCATCTTGTTTCACTTTTGTTATTGCGAAGTGAAATGCAGAAATGACGAAGACGAGGAGGTTGACTGGTTGGTGATTTTATCTGCCTCCATTTTTATTTTCACTCACTTTCGGTTGAAGCTGAATAAATGCTAAAATGTGTGTTGATGTCGGCCCGTCAGGTTTATTTTATACAAGCTGCCCAACGTGAACAATGCCGGTTTGTTGTATTTGTACATGGATGAGAGCACGAATGGGTGGCAACTCAGCCAGAAGGAAATCAACAGCAGAAGTGGCTCTTTGGGGAACACACTAAAACCTCTTCTTGATTTCTATGACAGAAAGGTAACATCCCACACAATCAGAAACTTTTAATGATGGTACCACTTTACAGGCTGATGTACATTCATCATTTATTGTCTTTTTATTGTAAGACTGAAGGCTTTGGTTACATGCTCTACAACGATCAACCTCCAGATCCTTATGCTGCTCCTTCGTCATTTGGCCACAGCAAAGGTGGGTGCTGCTGATTAATGTCTAAAACTAAATATCTAAAAATGTCTAAAACATCCAGCGATAAGCTGTTTCGTGACTCTTTGACATTATTTTATGTTCTTAAGGGGTTGTAATGTTGGATCGACAACATGGCCTTTGGCTTTCTCACAGCACACCCAAATTTCCAACATATCGCAACAAAGACTTCTGGCCAAAGAATGGAAATTCAAACGCTCAAACGTTTATTTGTGTTAACTTTCCCTACGCACAGTTTAAAGCAATAGGTAGGTTAAAACCTTTATATTTGGACCAACTTTGATGTTTTATTTACTGTGTTGAAATATTTCGTTTGAACTCTCAGGAGTGCAGCTCAAGTACATCCATGCTTATTCATACGACTCTGTGGTACCTACAACTTTTCATGAGGAGCTGCGGTGTGTCGCACAGAGAAGCTGCCTTCCAAGAAAAGCACCCTGGTCCAGCGTGACCACACTGACCTCCATGATGGGCCGTAGTTTCACCAGTTTTGCAAAATATGGACGCTTTAAAAATGGTGAGTGCTGGCAATTAAAACCCCCTGTTGTTGGATTTGAGTATCAAATGTGAAAAGTGTGATATTTACTTATTATTTACCGCCCCGCTCTTTTTTTAATAATGCCCAGACAATGTTTTCAGTGTTGTTACTTTCTTTGGGATCTATACAGTCATGTGGCATAATATAGATGCTGTGTAAATGACATTCTGGGAATTTTCAGGAAGACATGATGGTACCAAGTTCTGTTTTTACTACAGCCTTGTGCAGTAGAAAGATGCAGATGCTAAAATCCATCTATCAGTCAATCTATATAACTTTATTGTCCATAATATTCCATAAGATGGAGCTTTATCTTTGACATCTGGCTCATACACACAAAACAACACGAGTTAAAAATGCCATAAAACTTTAACCCAATAAATCTAATTCTAAAATACATGATAAATTAAAAGCATAAAAACATCTTAACAGACAATGGTTTGTCATGTGAGGCTACGTTAAAATAGGACCCTATTAAGGACACTAACAGAAGAGGGAACAAATGACTTTTTGTGCCCATTTTTCTTTACTAGAGGAACTACCTGTCTTCTGTCAGATGGTACCAACCTGAATAAAGGTTGTAGTGAATGAGTTGAGTCAATGTAAAGCTGGATTGCCTTTTATTTCCAGCACCTGACTGTACAGGTCTGGAAGTTTCATTGGTTGATGACCAATGACTTTACTACCTAGTTTGACCACACTGGACAGCTTGTTCCTGTCTCTGACTAGGAGGTTTCCATAACATGAGACAATATTAAAGGAAACACTTTCAACCAGTGACCTGTACACCAATTGCAAGGTATTTTTTGCTAACACTGAAGCTCCTTAGCTTATATACAAGGTGGAAATACTGTCTTGACTTTTTGTAAACACAGTCAGTGTTGGGCTGAAAGGTCAACTTGGTGTCAGTTATTGTTCCGGGGTACTTAACTTCAGTCACCTTCTCTACTTCCTGCCCTTTTTTTAACATAAGGTCTGGTGGCTGCTCCCCATCTACCTCCCAGACAAAGTTCCTCAGCTTTACTGACATTAAGGTCCAGAAAACTAACATCAAACCAGGCAGAGAGCTGACCTATGAGCTGGGAGAAGGAGGGGCTATTATTGGTGTCTATCAGACCAGCAACTAGGGCCATATCATCAGCATACTTAATTAATGTGAAGTCTTTGTTGTCATGTCACAAATCATGTATGTAAAAAGAGAATAAAAGTGGTGTTAGCACACAACTCTGTGGAACACCAGTGTTCAAAACCCTGCAGTCAGACAGAGAGTTCTACGCAGACTCGTTGGGGTCTTCCTCTCAAAATCTCTCCAATCCACAAAACAAGATGGTTGCTGACATTTATTTCACATATTTAAAACAGACCTGGATGCATTTCAGACTGAAAACATAGGTGCATTTTTCAATTTTGTTTTTTGGTGATGATAATACACACAGGAAGTTGAGCAAATTATATTTTAAAGTTCAGTAGATAAAAAATGTGTTTTGCTTAAAAATGACTGCAATTAGTTTTCTATATCTTCAAATGGTTTCAGTTTTGTTTAAAAAAAACGAAGACATGCAACACAATAAATGTCCTAAACTTTTAAGACAAATGCTGGCATCAGTTAAAACTTAACAGTGATCATTTCCCCCCATTGTTTTAATACTGTAGATCTTTACTCGAGCCTCATTGCAGACTACGTTTCAGAGGATTTATTTGTAAAAGGCTGGGGGAAACTGCGTGAACCTCTCGCCTCGAACTGCAGCTCCACTGCTCACATCTACAACGTGAAGGAAGTGAAGCTGCCGAGGAGGAAGCCCTTCAGTGACACACAAGATCACTCAAAGTGGTGTGTGACTTCAGATGGCAGCTTGACCTGCATCGCTGATATGAACAGAGAGAGGAGTCAGATGGACAGAGGTGGAGGAGCTATCTGCACTGCTGACCCTGTGGTTGGGAGGGTCTTTAGAGCATTAATCTTTCAGTATGAACCATGTAAACAGTCTAATTCTGAAAGAGAACTGTAAAACTACAATTCTCACAAAAAAAACTGTTTTTTTTTATTTTTGTTGTTTTAATAACTTTTAATTCAATTCTATTTTACAAACAGATCTATTCATGCAAAGCGAAGCTATTTTATTCCAATTTAAATAAAAGTATGTTTTGTGTTGTTAAACCACATATGAAAAGTTTATGTGTTGTTTTTTGTTAAACATTGTCTTTTAGCAGTGACTGGTTTTTGCAGGGTCCTTGTGTTTATGCCCTAACAATTAATTGAGTCCTAAAATTTCAGCCATATAATTTCAAAAGACAAAAACAAAAGTACCTTCAGAGGCAAATGCACACACATTCTCAGGCCACTTAATGTCTAGCTACAAATGCAGTGTCCTATTAGTTAGATTTCTCTATACAACCCAAGCAACTTTAATTACATGAATTTTTTTTGTCGCATGCAACCTAATATTACATTTTTGCAAAGTCCATCAGTCCATTCAGTCCCCTGACACAAATAGAGTATTATTGTGTATGCTGTTCAGTGTCAGGAGGGCTGTGATCAGTCTTACATCAGGGAAACTAAACAGCCACTGGCCAAAAGGATGGACCAGCACAGAAGAGCAACATCATCAGGCCAAGATGCTGCAGCTTACACTCATCTCCAGATCAGTGGTCACTCTTTCAGAGATGAAGATGTTCACATCCTTGATAGAGAGGAACGTTGGTTTGAGAGAGGAGTAAAGAAAGGCATCTTTGTGAAGAGAAACTGTCCATCATTAAACAGGGACAGAGGCCTCCGTGTCCCTGTTTAATATCTGTGAATAGCAAGCGGCCATCAGAGTAATAATCAGTCGTTTGGCGGATAGTCCTCCTTTATCAAGTGAACAGCTTTTGGATGTCAGCAAACTAGTTGATCCAATATGAGAAGTGCCTTTTTATAAGACTGAGTTTATTGCAGACACTCAGACTGACAAAGATGAAATGTTTCAACAAGTTTTTTTTTTTTTATTATTATTTTAATCTGTCCAGAGGACCTAACTTAACTTTATTCGCTTTTTGCAAATTATTCTTCTAAAGTCCCAGCTTTTCCACTTACTGTACTATTTTTTTCATTCAACCTTTATTTATGCAGGTTAGTCTCATTGAGCCTCGAGGACTCACTTACAAGAGAGACCTGAACAATTTGGAATTAAATCAACATTCTGCATAGAACTGGATTAAAGACAAAGCAATTATAGTGTGATGTGTTGAAGTCAAATTTTCATTTAATGTATAATTTAATTTGATCTGTTCAGTTCCATTCAGCATTTGAGCTGCTATTTGTCTCCTCGCCACGAGGGGGCGCACGTATTCACTGATCTTGTAACTACTCACCCCCTGTCACCGGAAGTGAACGCGCTTGTCCGGAAAGTCTGTTCCGCACGTGAGAAACAATCCAAAATGGATTTTACAGAAGTTCCCGTGAGTCAGGGAGGCGAAGGTAAAATAAAGAACAAAAAAGTAAAGATGAAAGATGTTAGTAAGGATGGAGAAGAAGGGAGCAGCGGAGCGGAGAAGACCGAGTCAGAGACGACGACGTTTCCGCCAACATTCAGTTTGGCTGAAGTCAAGAACAAACAGAGAAGACACCTCATGTTTATGAAACTCAAGCAGGAAAAAAGAAAGGTAAACAGAAGACATTGTGCCTTGCGCTAGGCAAAGCTGCCATTATTAATAAATTTAGTTCACTCATCTGTTGTTAGCTAAAATAAACTTCTAAAACCACCCCTCTTTACTTAGAATAACGAAACTCATGCCAGTATTTCACAAGTAAAAAACAAAGAAAGAAACATACTAGTAGTTACTTTCAACTATTCTCAGAGATCTGTTGTTGTAACGCACTTGTCTTTGAGTTTATAATCATGTTAATCTTGTTTTCTGTAGCAAAAGCTGCAAATTAGGAAAAAGAAGAGGAAGGAAAGAGAAGCATTAGGTGACAAGGTGAGTCTTTTCTGTTGTCATTCATTTATTTCATCTTTTAATATCAATTCATTGCTTGCATCATCAACAATTTTTTTCTTTCATTCTGTCCCAAACTTAGGCGCCGCCAAAGGAGGTCCCTAAAACGATAGAAAACCAGAGAGTGTTCGACGAGACAACAGTTGACCCAGACGATGAAGAGGTGTGGACTGGTCTCGCTGAAATAATCTCTTTACTTTTATTAGTTTGTTCATATTTCTTGTTTGGTGTCCAGGTTGCGTTTGACGAAGGGACTGATGAATTTTCTGCGTATTTCAACGGGCTGACGAACCCCAAAGTGCTCATCACAACATCAGACAGGCCCAGAGGGGTGAGTGGCTGCTGTTCGACCTCAAAACAAAATTCCCCTTCGTTCATCGGTGTCAAAAATCTGGATTGAAAACACGTTGGATGTTGGGTGATTTGTCTTGCAGAGGACGACAAGGTTCTGTAAGCAGCTGGCCACAGTGATCCCAAACGCCCACGTTTACTACAGAAGAGGTTTGGCCCTGAAGAGGATCATTCCTCAGTGTGTCGCCAGGGACTTTACCTACCTGATCGTTGTCAATGAAGACCGCACGATTCCCAGTATCCTCACATCCAGTCACAGGAAAGAGACTAAACTCCTCTGCACCGAAGCAGTTTTCTTTTGACACATTATTACATTGGGGAAAATTGTATCAACGTGGAAAAAATGTCATCATCCTTAACGGTCACTTTAAGATGGCTTGGTTCTCTGTCACCTTCCTGATGGGCCAACTGCGCACTTCAAAGTCAGCAGCGTTCGGTTACGCAAAGAGATAAAGGCAAGTTCAGTTCCTCTATTTCACCAGCTGCGTTTGGACATCAAAGTGATGCAAGTCCATCCCAAAATTAAGTGTCCCGTACTCGCAATTCACCATTTCATTGAGTTGATGTTTAATTTGGTCTGTTTTGTGTTACTTTACTGACTAATCTTATGTCTTTACAGTGGCAGATAAACAAGAACTAAGCTTAGCAGCAATTGTCATTTTAACAGCATTATTAAAAATGTAATTTGCAGAGGGTTTTTTTAAGATTGGAAAGTAGACAAATCACGTTTCCAAGTATATTCTAGGACATGGAAAGCTGAACATTCTTATATCCTTTGTTTTTTATATTTTGCCAAGGTTTGATGCCGTTCTCTTTGTTTTGTGCAGAGGCTAGGTAAAGAGCCGACCGAACACTATCCAGAGGTGATCCTCAACAATTTCTCAACCCGTCTGGGTCACTCCATCGGCCGGCTGTTCGCCGCTCTCTTTCCACAGAACCCCCAGTTCGTGGGTCGACAGGTCGCCACCTTTCACAACCAACGAGACTTCATCTTTTTCAGATTCCACAGGTGAACTTTTCAACTGTGGCTTAATTTAGTAACAGTTAATTTTTGATTAAGTTTGTTTAGTGGTTTTCTGTTTGTTCATTACTAAAATTACATTTCGATATATGGGCAAATAGAGCCGGCGTTGAAATAAAATCTAAATTTTTGCTGTAAGAAGGTAAATATGTTTACGGTGTTTTGAACAGGTACATCTTCAAGAATGAGAAGAAAGTTGGTATTCAGGAGCTGGGACCCCGCTTCACTCTCAAACTCCGATCTCTTCAGAAGGGAACCTTCGACTCAAAGTATGGAGAGTATGAATGGGTGCTGAAGGTGAGTAACTGGAGAAATCACTTTGTCTTTTTGCATAGGGCTATTTGTAGAACGAGTGGGGCAATCATGCAAATTACTTGAGAGCATTTGAAAAGAAGTCTCAAACTATAAAAAACGTGTTTTTCTTCTTTACTTGCTTATAATAACTTCTTTGTTTGTTTGCAGCGCCATGAAATGGATGCCAGCAGGAGGAAGTTCCAGCTTTGATTTTACATTTTTCATGACAAGTTATTTAATATCTGGCAAACAATTACTTGTGGACTTGGATGAATTGACTAGCCCGTAGTTTTAAGATCTGTGATAAATGTTACAATTTTTTTTTTGTTGATCATTTGTTTTCCCTGAAAAGTATTTGAGCTTGTATGGCTTCACCCTTTAGCTTGACTTGAGCTTCAGAGTTAACACCGTTTTAACTGAACTTATCCAAGTTGTATCAGTGGGTTGAAAGTTGTAAATGAGCGATACAAAACAAATGTGAAGCTCTAATACCAGGATTTACCATGCCAACAGGTAAATATAAAACTAAACTACCATTTTAGTCATTGAAGCTTCAACTGCGAACGTCCGTACACAGATCCTGGTGTTTTCTGTTTAGACAGGAAAAGAGAAAAGTATCATTTTCACAGCTGGAAAACACCATCATAGGTTGATCTCACCAGCCTGTAATGGAAACATGACCTAAAAGTTGCAGTCAATGTAAAAATGGCTACATGTTCCATCGGCATGACATGATTTAAGAGGTTAAGCCTTCATACATGTTTTGTTTTTCTCACGGTAATTTAAATATTTGTGCAAATAAACTGTATTACAACCTGACAGATGCCCTTTATGTCAAAGACAATTAAATTGAGGATTATTCCATAATTGCAGAGTGGGCTCCATGTACACTGATCATTGATTATATGAGGTTTGTGTCAAATCCAACTGTTCTGACTTGCATGTTTCTAAATGAGTGAAATTGTGTGAAACAGAATTGAGACGATTGTTGATGTCAATAGTGTGAATGAATAAATCAAAGTGTCAGATAACAGCTTCAAGGCTTTCAGGTGAAGCAGATCAGAAAAAAAAAAAAACTTTCAGAAAACCAACAAGCAGTTTAGGTTCAGGATGTTACAGTAACCAGCCATGGATTTACTGTTCTTTACATAAGGTTCTCACTAGTTTTACTCCGTTTCACACCAGAAATCACTTAAAAAGTAAGAATCTACAATTTTACAGAGGACAACACATAGCAGCAAGTCTATAAACTGTGGAAACATTTATTCAGTTATGAAAAATGTACATTTCACAAGGCACACGTGTTCTTATGGGTTAGTTCGAAGCAAAAAGGCTAAGACGGTAATGTTGCACTAGAGAAATGTCTGCAGGAGATTTTACAAAATGGTACAAGATTTGTTAAAAAAAAAGAAGTTATGTTAGTTGTCTGGCCCAAATTCCTTTAAACACTCCTGAGACGACTCCAGTCCATGACGAAGGGTCCTGCAGCTCGGTGTGCGAAAGAATCGCATCTTCTAAAACCTGAAGAGACGACAGTATTTCACAAAATAAAACTAAATTGTACATCTTCAATGGAGCAGAATCTACATTTTAACAAAAATCAGATAAGGAAAACAGTAGGAGACGCTTTGATAAGACATTCAGGATACTCTTTGGCAAACTTGTAACTAACATTAACAGGTGACAACTCTCAAAACTTGACAATCATTTTAACTATTTGTCCTCTACTACAGGTAACATGTACTTTAAAACTGGTGGCAGTAACGGAGTAAAAGCAGGATGGAAAACAAATGTACCTAAAATACATAGGACATTAATTACAGTAAAATACACACAGAGGGGAACACTGGGCACATACTCGGTAGGAAAACATGTTTCATTTTGGGTTAAAGAGACCCTGAACACTCAAATGAATAAGACAGTATAAGTATAAGACAGTATAGTGATGGTACTCACAGTGGAGGCTCGGCCGGTCGGTGCTATAGGAAGGAGCAGGCTCTGTGCGGTCTGAACGGGTTGTTGCTGGACGACATGCCGTTCAGCAGAGGGTCCTGCTGGGCGTTCTGAAGGCAAAACTGCTGGAGGTCCGCTGCGGCCTGAGAGACCTTTAAAAAGATGGGTTTCTGTTAAGTTACCATAGCCTCTGACAGTTTATTTTAACACGGCGCGTAACTACCGGTACATGGCCAAGAAAGACACGCCCTAGAGGAGTAAAACTGTAACGAAGAGTTTCAACAAATACCTTAACTCTGTTGATGCCAGCTTCAAGACGCAACTGTTGGACAATTTTCTTCATCGCGATAATGTTGGCTGTCCCCGGCATTATTGCGATGTGAAATAACTTAAATGTTTAGGCAACGAAAGTTAAAAAAAATCACAAAATGTTTACGAAAAGAACTCTTTGTTACTAGCTAACTCGTTAGCTTTTTTTCTCTTCTGCGCTGCTTCCGGTTTTCTTTAAAGGCGTGTCAGCGGCTGCTGCCTTCACGTTACGATTAGAAATTACATAAACGACGTTTCCTGTTTGTTTATTTAGAATGTAACTTTAGTCATATCTATTTATTTGTGTTACTATGCCATTTAAAATAGCTAAAGCTCCAAGTTATGTTTATATGTTGCTCTTATGTTCGAAGTAACTGTAAAATACACATCCTTGCAATAACTTTTTACAATTTGTGCTTAAAAATTAGAATGGTAGTGTTAAACTTTAGTAACTGACAGTTGTTCTCTAAATTTATTTTCCACAAAGATATTTTGTGTGATTGTATGACTAACACAATTTCATTCACTTCTGCAGCAGGGGAAAAAAAATGCCTTTGTTATGTAAATTCCTCCTTTCCACGAATGCAGCATTGCATGAGAAGAAATGTCTCCATCTAGTGGTAAAAATGTGTCACTGCACAAATTAAACAAGTTCAAAGTGTGAACTGTTTTAAACAGCAGGACTTTGAAAATGCTTCAGAAAAAATCGTGTGAAAAATATAATCTATAAAATCTGAAGGATTTAAACTCTCATATAGTTGAATTAATCACAGGTTTTACGTTTTGTTTAGTTTTTCCTGCAAGACTCTCTTCATCAGTACCAGAGCAACCAAGGCTGGCACTCTCATAAAAGAAACTCCACTGGGTGACTGCGTTTAATTACAGCAGATAGTTTCTTGGATGTCTCAGTAGTCACAGCACATGAAAACACACACCTTCAGGGAAGTACACAAAAAAAAAATCAATTTCTTAGTGTTTCGTCACCTTCCTTGTGCTGAAATCAGTCCATGGGGTGTGCAAAGGGAAGCATGAGACGGGCCAGTTGTAAGGTAAGCTGTTTTTACATCACTACCATTTCTGTTTAGATGAGAGTCACAAATTTGTAAAAAAGAAAAAAAGAATGTGTTGTCAATTTCCTTACTGTGCAGTTTGTGGAGCTTCACGTGCTGTATGTGCCGGGTGACCAGTGGGATGTAAAATTGAACAAAGTCCCAGCTGAAGCCTCAGAGAGTTTTATTTCAGCTGGATTTATCAGGTAAAACTGCTGGAAATGTTTTATACAGTAATATAAAATGAACAGTTGTGTAACTGCACATATAATAAGGCCATAGATTGTGTCTACAGTGAAAATCAGTGTTCATTTAATAATAAAATAAAGAAATTGCTTTCAAAAAAGCATTTAAAATGTCAGAAAGTGACGCTTTTGCATGTTGTTGGATTATGTTTTTTTTTTTACATGCTTTGTTGAGATAAAGCTTTAGCAGCGGGATCCTCAAAGAAGATTATCAAAAGGCTGAAAATGACAGTGCAGCCAACTGAAATGATTGTGTGTTGTGAATCACATTCACAATTTGAACCCACGTTGCATCATAAACAGAATCAGTCCTGTCTGCAGTCCAAATCTGTTTCATACTCAAAATGTATGGCACATCATGAAATGGAGCTTTTAAACTACTTTAAACTGATGACAAAGCTGAGATATATTTTCTTTTAATGCAAAAATCTATTTTTCAAAATTGCAACTTTTATTCTCAGTCCTTCAACTTTAAAAAGTCAAATTAAAAAGAACAGTAAAGTTATTGCTATTTAAAGTAATTATTTAATATTTTTCTGTGTTAAATAAATGAGTTATTTACAGATTCAAGTTGTTGGTTCATTGAAAAAAACAAAGATTCAGAACTTTTCTACAAAATTAACTTTTTACACGTTTAAAACACTTAAACTCCAGAGTTTTCTGTTTATTGTGCTTCACTAAAAAACAGCTGAAGCCTTGAGTGGTGCAAAGGTTGTGGTCATGGTTCTCCTTTCCCTGATATGATTTTAGGGTTCATCCTGACATCACGTTGAAAACTCTGAGGAGCGAGCTGGGAGCTCTTTTTGGCAGCGAGCTAAGCGTCAAGAAATACTTCTTCCTGAGATGTTTGGGCCGTAGTTTGGCGCTGGTGAGTGGCGCTGGCACTTAAAAGTCCTTTTGTAAAGCCGACTGTTTCACAATGCAGACTGTGCACTATTCAGAAGAAGCCACATTAAAGTTTGTAAAGAGTTTGGTGAGAATAAAGGTTTTACTGCCGTGTTTATGGCCACTGTATAATCCCTCTCTTTTACAGGTCAAAAGCAACCAGGAGAAGGACCTGAAAGTGAAAACATTTGCTCCTCCTTATGTATGTAGGGTTATTTTCTAAGTTGATCACATCATTATTCTTGGTCAGCTGCTGTGAGACGTTGTTCTCACCTGTTTGCAGGCTGCTCAACCAGAGCTTTACCTGCTGTCTGCTGTGGAGCCAGACAGCAGTTTCTGCTCCCAATCCTTCACCACGGATACCAGCAGTAGCTCCTCGGAGCAGCAGATCTGTTTCCACCCTCCCAAGATGAGCAGCGTGCCAATGGGGACAAAGGAGCCCGTTAAATTTCCCCGCATCCCCCAGTGTTCCCATCAGCCTCCTCCTCCCTCTGGGCTAGAAGAGGAAGAAGGGGATGATCAGCGCTGCAGCTCCTCAGAGGAAGAGAATGAAGTTCTGTGCTCCATCAGAAGCAACAAGCATCACGACCTGAGGGCACTGCAGCTTATTTCACTGAAAGAAGGTAATGTTAATAAGTATGCATGTTTTTTTTCTCTCCTTCAAGTCTTCAGGTCTTCAGTGTAAAGTCTACTTTAGAAAACATTTCAGCTGCTTGACTCTACAGTTTTAGACAGATGTGAAGCTGAGTCTGCTCAGGTGAAGCGGTCACCTCAGAGAGAGGAGCCCTGCAAAAAAACTAAAACGCACAGAGCCGGGTTTTCAGGAGCTGAGGAGGACAGGGACTCAGGCTTCTCCCTCACAGACAGGTACCACATGTCCCATGAGACTACAACCACTCCCACTCCTTCTTTTTAACTTAGCGTGTGTGTGTGTTGTACAATTAGAAAACCCAAAGATGCACACACACTGGAATCCCTCAGGAGCAAACCAACAGCTGGGGTAATGTCATTCAGAATAAATATTTCAACATTTAGTATATTTTTATTTGTATTTTAATATTGCTAGTAAATCTAATATTTTTCTGGTGTTTTAAAGGTGTCAAAAAGTCAGTCTGTGTTCTCGAGACCTGCTTGTTGCACGACTCCCCCTCCAAGTTTAGGCCTGGCCCCGGGCACCAAGAGAACAGCCGCTTCGCCGGTCTTTCCTACAAATAGTAAGTGGTCCCATACTCAGGCTTCACATTTATCTGATCTAATTCAACCGATGTTTGTTTGCTTTTCTGTAAGAAGAGGCACTAATCAAAGAACTTCAACTGGTGAAGGAGGAGAGGAAGCAGCTAGAATGGACAAGACAACAGCTCCTGAGGAAAGGGAAGGACTTGCTGGCTCAGAACAGACACCGCAGGAACCAAGGTGGCCGCATAAAAACCATAGATGCTCTTCACTTAGTTTAGCCAGAAACATGAAATCTAGACTGTCTAAATGTAAAAAAAAAAAAAAGAATAATAATAATTGATCTGCTGCTTTTTTCTTCTCGATCAATACAAAGCACGTGACAGCTGGAAAAAGAAGTACTTTCAAACCAAGAAGGCCACAGCACCGCTGGAGGACAAACTCAGACACTTCAAACAGGAACTGGAGATGTTTTACAGCAAAGTCCTGCACCAGCTGCACGCCAGAGAGAACCGAGGGAGACCGAGGAAGACTTCGGAAAAGGTTTGAACAAATTGTTTAGACCAGCCGGTCAAAGCAGATGGCCGCTTGTCCTGAGCCTGGTTCTGCTGGAGGTTTCTTCCTTTAAAAGAGTTTTTCCTTTCCACTGTTGCCACTGTGCTTGCTCAGGATGGGAGACTGCAACAAAGCCAAGATTCAACTTGTCTGCTGGATTCCTTAGATAGAGAACTTTACTAATTGGCTTTTTATGTTTGTGACTGTTCCTGTAAAGTGCCCTGAGACAACTTTGTTGTGATATGGCTCTGTATAAATAAACTGAATTGAATTGCAAATAGTAAAAATGTCCCATAACATTAGCACAGCTGTCACCTTGCTATTCAGAGGGCTGAGTGATACTTGCAATAACACTTTAAGAGGGGGGCAGTTGAACATGGGAGGCCTCCACCCTTGTGTAACGATGGACAAGTTCTCTTCACAAAGATGACTTCCTTTACTCCTCTCTCAAATCAACATTCCTCTCTGTCAGGGTTAACATCTTCATCCCTGAGGGACGGCTGGCCTGTAGATGTGTTAACCACAGAGTCCTGGCCTGATGATGTTACTCTTCTGCGCTGCAAATAGCAAGCGGCCATCAGAGCACTAAAGACTGAAGAAGTCTTTTGGATAAAAGACTCAATGTGTCAATAAAGAATCCATCCAGAGGACCCGACTAAACATTGTTAGATTTGTCTACATGGATTATTGCGCAGCATCAGGACCGTCTTTCTAAATGTTATGCTTTTTTATCTTTTACTCATTTATTTACATGAACAAAAATACTGAATTATAGCAACCAGCTAAGTGTCAGTATATGCTGTGAAATGTTTTTGTTCATCCCTGATGTCCTATAAATGATTGATTTCAGAACGAACTCGTCATCCAGATCGTGAAGGTGAAATGTGAGATTGACAACTTAAAGAGGAAAGTGGAAGATGCCAAAATAAAGCTACTTACAGAGATAAAGGTAACTTTTCTCTTTTAACTTTAATGCTACAATTCTGAACTCAGCAGAGATTAAACTGCTTGTAAAGTCAGGTTCCCCTTTTTTTTTTCTCCAAAAAAAAAAAAAAAAATGTGTGTAGCTGAGGATGCAGGCTGCTTCAGAGCTGCGAGCCCTGAGGGTCGAGCTGGCTCAGAAGAAGAGCCAATCGTCTCCTGCACGGATGAGAAACACGACACGAGACAAACTGAACGTTTCCTCTACAATGTGATCACTCTTCTAGGATAATATGAATCTGAAAGACAAACTTTTGATACTTTCTGTATGTTTGCTTATTTTGTGATTTTATTGTCTATGACGCTCGTTCTCTGGTACTGTGTGTTTGTTGCAGTAATATCAACTCAAACGTGTTCATTTTGACACCACGTGCACATCAGCAAATCTATTAAAACAAGTGGAAAAGTTTTATTTGCGAACAAAGTACAACAAAATCTTGGAAAGAGCATTAAAAAAAAAGAGTTCACATCTTATTAGAAAGAAAAACATGAAAATATTAAACAATATTTGTAAAATAATCACAGTGCATTTTGTTTGAAATATCAATAAATTTAAACAAGAGCAATGAAAGCTACAATTTATGATTTCGTGCAAGTATGCATCCCTGACAGAAGAACAGATCATTTCATTTCTATTACAAAATATTTGATTATTTAGCAGCACAGACAAAAGGGCGGCGGCACAGTGGTGCAGCTGGTCGAACTGTTGCCTCTCAGCAAGAAGGTCACCGGATCAAATCCTGGCCAGGGAGCCATTCTGGGTGGAGTTTGCATGTTCTCCCTGTGCATGCTTGGGTTTTCTCAGGGTACTCCAGTTTCCTCCCACAGACCAAAAACATGCATGTCAGGCTGACTGGTATTAAATTGTCCCTAGATGTGAGAGAGGGAATGTTTGTTTGCCTCATTTGTCTCCATGTGTCCCTGTGATGGACTTGCGACTTGTCCAGGGTGTCCCCTCGCCTCTTGCACAGTAACTGGATATAGGCACCAGTGACCCCCATGATCCGAAAAGGAAAAAGCGGGTAAAGATAATTGATGGATGGAGAAACGGGCTTAGAAGAGGTGTAAATTTCTGCAGGAGAGTTAAATTTATTTTAGTTGGCACCCAAATAGGGCGTTCCACATCTGCATGGTCTGCTGCCCAGCATCTGGATCATCGCTGTAGTCCAAGATGTTGCCGTTCCACATGCCGATGCCTCTCAGGCCTTTATCCATCACAGAATTAGCTTTGGCGCAGATGCTCTGTGGATCATCGTACCAGACCTGATGAGTCTGCCCGTCCTGGGCCTGAAAACCAAACAACAAAATGAAAAACTTTACTTTCTTTCAAAGATGCAGTTATCAGTAGTGTCGGCTTCAATGACAATTTGGAAAAAGACTAAAGTTTAAATTTAAATACTATATATAAAAAGGTTGTACACCTTGTAATAGAAATAAGGAGCCTGCTGCTCGTCATCCCACATCCTGCCTGACGATGAGCTGCTGAGACGCTTCATGATCCACTTGTACGGTTTTTGTTTTCCTGCTGCGTCGCTGCAAGGAGCTCCACGGAAGGGAACTTTGGGTATAAAACATATACCCTCCTTTAGTGAAAGAAAACGGCACCACAGCACAGCAGTTAAAATCTGGTCCATGCTTCATAGCTAGAAGAGGAATTTTCAAGATGCATATTGGAAATTGGAGTTCAAGTTAAGAAAAATAGCAGTTTTTAATTATTTGCATTTTTATAAATAACTACTGTCAACATTGTTTTATCATCGTTTGATACATGAGGTAAGACTGTGTTGAAGTGGATAAAAGTCTAAAAGACAAATCATTATCAACAATTTGTGGCTGAGCTGAAGACAGGAGAAATGCAAAGACTTCAAAATCAAAACTGAACTAATCTGAGCTTGATTTGCTGTGGATGTTGTTGTTAATTGTGTGCTAACTATTAGCCGTGTAGTCAGATTATAAGCAATCAAAACAACCAGCACACTGCATGTAGTTCATAGGCTGAACCACAAGGTAGCTGTGTAGGAAAAGGCTGTGGTGGGCACAGCAAACCAAAAAGTTAGCTTTGCTAACTCATATTCTGCTAACAAAACATTAGCTTTGCTAATGCTAAACCACAAACAGGTAAAGGAAATATTAGCAGAAGCTAACGCTAAACCACCAAAATGACCGTGTCACATCTTTGTCTCCTTCCAGTTGAAGTTGCGTCGACCAATCATGTCTTATCACATGTACACGTAGTAAGCCAACATAGTGCCCAACGACCTCTTCGAGACATGCCCACAACAGACAGGAACAAGCTTGTGAATTTGGTTAGCAGACGTAAAGTTGGATAAACCAAATGTAGTGGATGTATATTTGTTTGTTTGGTGACAGACTTTGACACTTAAATGTAATATTATTTTGTTAATTTAAGGGGGAAAACAAAGAGAACTGAAGGAATTTGCTTAATGCTGATGATTTTCTAAATACTAATAATCAGTTTAATGTATCTACAGATGTATCAGTCTTCCATTAATATTGATTATTAATGTGTAGCATTTAAAGGCACATTAGCATACCTTGGAAAGGTTGATACATGGGTAGTCGTAGCCATACCAAGGCACTCCCATTACCAACTTCTTACGGTCAATATTTAGATTTAAATAGTCATCATAGGCTAAAAGGATGAAAAAACAAAAACATACAAGTTAAAGTTTTACCTTTAAAGCTGATTCGTTCTTATTACAAAAGTGCAACTGGATAAACCTTTCAGCGTTTGGGCGAGTGGGGCATTTGCCATTGCGATGCAGTCACCAGTGATCTGGCTCTGCTCATCGTAAGACATCACAAACAGCAGGTCGCAGTGGTTGGCGATGCTGACGTAGTCATAGCAACGCTTATCAATACAGTTTGGAGACCAGGCAACATCAAATGAAACCTGGAGAAAACGACAATCATCAGTGAGAAGTTAGAAATATACAAACTTGATTTGTTTAAATGTGCTCTGATTTATGTTTAAACATTTCCTTCACCTGAGAACCTGGGATTTCTCTGTGGAACGCCTCAGTTGTCTCTTTGACGAGGTCCGTCAGAGCAAAGTACTCTGGTGAGCCCTTAACCACCGCTTGCTCAAGATCGATGTTGATCCCATCCATAAACTGGCTCTTGGCCAAGTTTACCTGCTTGGTTATCCATGCGGTTCTGTTAGTTTGATCCACAATGGAGGAGATGCGAACATCACCTTTAGCCAGCATGGAAATACAAAGATGGTTACTGGTTAGAGACAGAACGCAGTGTTAAACAAAAAACTTCAAAGATGCAGCGCCAGATTAACAGAAAGGCTCGATTATTATCTGACATTCCTTCTTACGTTCACAAAGACAGGAAGTTCTCTTACCTTTAAGGACAAGTCGTGCACCTTTGGAGTGAGCGTAACACATGAGATCAGCATCGTATTTTCCAAAAGCTGCCACAGTTGTCACCACAGTCCAGTTGTAGGACTTCCATTCCTTTCCACCCACATCAAATACAAATACCTAAAAACACAGTTATGGCTATTGAAAGATGACAAATGAAAACTTTTAGGAGTGTTTCCTTTCCTTGCTGCTTCTCTTCATCCTGCCACAAAACCATTTTGGCTAACCCAAAACATTTTGTAAAACAAAAACGTCCGACAAAATGTGATGAAAAAGAGAAAGTCTCATTAAATAACAATAAAGACTAGTTTAAAATGTATAGAGGTGCATTATTTTCCAAATAAACCTGCTTTTATATCTCATAAAAGTTAGTTTATAAGTCAAGAGAACCTTAGTCTGGTCCAGTTTATTTTTTTTAGATTATTGTGTTTAAATAAAATAGCATTATCGGGACAAAGTAGCAACAAATAAAAGCTATACGTTTTGAGCTAAACAGGAAGTTTGTGTTTTGACGCAGTATTTATCCGGTACCTCGTGCTCTCTCTCCCCTTGTATCGGCTGACACAGCTCCGGACTCTCACACGGACACACACCGGACCCGTTCACCGCCACCAGAACACACAGAAACACCAAAAACGTCAACATTTTATGTGAACGACAAACTGCGAGAAACCAAGTCAGCTGATTCGATCAGCTGAACGGATCACGTGACGCGGAATATGGTGCGCGAGATGGGACAAAAATCTTCGCACTTATGAATTATTGACACTCTGACACTCGAAAATATGGATATTTTAATACAAACACGCTGTTTGATTATACCGCACAGTTATTGGATTAAAAAAAAAATCTATTTCACCAAAAAAAAAAAATCGGCTTCATTTTTAAAATATAAAGAAATAATTTTATTTTACTTCTCTTACATAAATAAAATTATTAAACTGTTAGGTTATTTTGTGTGTAAAATGAAAAAAATAAAAAAGCTAAATCTTGTTGTTGTTTTTAATTGAAACAACGAAGAAACTTCGCTTTTCTTCTTTCCAAAATATTGAATACTTTCTCTGCACTCATGAACTCCAAGCCCTTAACTTGGTGGAATAAAGAGCTCGTTTTGCCAGTGATGGGTATTACATAAGATTCCTGTTATTTACAGGTCATTTTGACCCATGACCTTTCGGGAACAGTCTACACTGAAACAAAATTCATATGTAGCTACCTTTATTTAAAACATAAATATGAACCTGCTTTCTGGTTCAAACTGGCATGTTGATATCGTCCACCATGCAAGATTTAGCAGAAGATGCTGTGACTGTGACTGTTTTTTTTTTGTTTGTTTGTTTTTTGCCACTGCCTGATTTAATGGTCTGTTTTCATTGGACAGACCTGGAAAAGTTTAGGACGTTTGGCAAAATAAAATAACTAAAGTTAAAACATGTTTTTATTTATTTGTTTATTTATTTATTTATTTATTTATTTTATCTTGGCAGTGTTGAATTGCTTTTTCAAACTACACAATCGACTAATTCAGAAGTTTCATATACAAGGTGTCATTTAAATAAAAGTTAAAAACCACTGGAAAAAGACCAAAAAAATTTGGTGTATTAAAAAGAAAGCCCTAAAGTAATGTTTGCAACCCTGCAGTGACTTATCCAGAGTGTTCCCCATTTTTTGTGTAACGCTCCAGCCCCTGAGTGCAACAAAGTTAGTACTGGATCTCCAAGAGAACCAGTCATGTTTGTTTATTGTCTTACCGATATTTCAGACAATTTTAAATAAATATTTCATTTGTTACCCATCTCTTAGGTCTTTCTGACCTCAGCTGGACCGCCACTGTCAACAGTTGTGTATTTTCTTGTTTTAATGGATTCTCTGGTCAAACCACCCAGAGATCTGGTGAACCAGTGTCCTTGTCTTTTAAAAAAGTGAATATCTTCTAAAGTTGGAAGAACGTGATGATATCTCTTCCATAGAAGCCGATCCTAAAAAGTAAGAGGTTAAGAGAAATGTTGACACATGTTGACCAGCTTAGACTTGAGACGACAAAGATATGCAAATCCTGTAAATGTCACTAAAGTCTCCATGTGCAAAATAAAATCACCATTACAACTTTGGATTTTATTAGAAGTTTTAACAATCTCTTGCCCCACACATTTATTTTTCATCTGTTTTTATTCTTAATAATAGATACAGATGATTCAGCCAGTAAACATAAAGGCTCATAGTTTAGGTTACATATGGATGCGCATAAATAAAGTCCTCCATTTTGGACTGTGAAGCAGATGCAAAGGTGGTTTCCCTGCTTGTACAAATTATATACCGTAGGTTTTCTCGCTTCACGTGCTCTTAGCATCAATTTAGCAGGCAAAAGTAAAATGTGAACTGGAAATAGCTAAGGGGTTAAAAAAGTAAAGTGCTTTTATTTAACTGAGATTCCAATGCTGTTGTTTTCTTGTCCAGATGTGCTATACAGTTGCATACGTGTTCTCAGGTGAGACAGTGTTCTTTGTAGCCATGACATCACCTCACCTTTCTGAACAAATAATTGAGTCTGGCACATTATTAAAAAGTTGCATTAGAACTTTGACTCTCTTATTGTGTTCTCTGTTGGCATCATGCTCCTTTCTGATTTCTGGATTAGTTAGATACAGATGTTTATGAAGTTTTTGACTAGATATGTTTTCTATATTGTGTGGCATACCATTTGTACTGTATGTGCAAAAACAATTTAATAAACTGATATGCCAAAATGTCCTGAACAAGCAAAAACTACAAGGAAAAATGGACAACAACCAACGACTTAGCAAACCTGTCACTGAAAGTGAAAGACAAAATCACAATTACCAAAACAGGAATATAATTTTAAAACAAAACCCAGTAAAAATATAAAACATCATACTTTGTCTGACTAGACCATGATTCTGTTTAATTTGTTATTCAGTGAGTTTGAAACAGTGACAATAAAAGATTCCTGAGCATTTGTTGCCTTTGGAAAGTCAACAGTCCCTCGTCAAAAAAGACAGTATTGTGAAAGAATAACCGGTCAGGACATGGTGACATTAAACTAAATCACTACATTAGATCGTCTAAACTTTTTGTGACACAATTTCCTATTAATTGTGTTGTTGTTGTTTTTTTCCCCAGGATGGCATTTTATATGACCTCCGTTTAAACGAGGAGATTAATAATTTCCTCAAGACTGTAACTTATTGAGACTTGCTAAAAATAAAATATAAAACAACTACTGTGGCATAATAAAATCTACATATTTTACTTGGGTTAATTGTGTAAGACTTGGTCATGGCAGATGAGTAATGTCAGAAAAATTGCATTGCCATTGGATTATGTATCTTTAAAATGCCACAGTCAAATAAAGAAGTGATTTCAGAGAAGCCAAGAGCCAGGTGGAGGCACTGATGTTTGATGTATTTACTCAGTCTAATCTTCATGATCAGGGCACAGTAACATTAGCAGCAACAACAGTCAACATTTAGTTAATGTTATATATTGCTAGATAACATCAGTGAAAACTGGCTTTATAAAAGGGACCTTTGGGAAGCAGATGTTCACTTCAAGCAGGCATGAAGGCGCTTGTACTAGCTCTCACCGTGGCCCTTGTGGGTGAGTATACGTTTATTCACCTAAAATGTAGAATATGTCTAAGTGTAGTTGAAAATGAACAGTTTTCTTTTTGTCCTGGGAGATTAAACTGTTCAGATGAAAAGTGGAAGCATTTTGACTGATAAATTGTCTTTTACAAGACAAAAATTGAGAGCATTCATTTAAAAAAGTGGCAGTGTATGAAATTATTATTATTTTTTAACCCTCCCAAAGGATAAAGAAAAATAAAATAAACATTTTACCAACAGCTAAGGAAATGCAGCTTGTTATTTCTAATATTTCCCTGAACCATAGCACATTTATTTCAGTCCCACAGATTTATTGTTTTTTTATTAACACCAAAATAATTTTTATTGCTGTCTTGCAGCTGGTAACCAGGTGAGCTATGGTAAGTTATTTCTTGTTATAGTAAATAAAACCGTATGTAACACTGAAAAGTTTTACAGTGTAGATCAAACATGTCTTCTGTTACAGCCCCAGAGTTTGTTCCTGGAAAGACCTATGAATACAAATATGAAGCGTATCTTCTGGGGGGCCTGCCTGAGGAGGGCCTGGCACGGGCTGGGGTGAAAATCGAAAGCAAAGTTTGGATTGGTACAGCGACCCCAGACAGCTACATTCTGAAGGTCAACAGAATTTGACAGCATCAGTATTTTCCCACAATAAAACTTAATCGGTGCAAATATTTACATTTAAGTCTATTTTCTACTTTTGTCTTGCAGCTTGTAGACCCCATGCTTTATGAATACAGTGGCATCTGGCCCACAGAGGTTTACCACCCCGCCGCCAAGCTCACTTCAGCCCTATCTGCTCAGCTCTTGACACCCATCAAGTTCGAGTATGCCAACGGTGTGGTTGGTAAAGTGTACGCACCCGAAGGTGTCTCTACAACTGTGCTGAACATCTACAGGGGAATCCTCAACGTCCTTCAGATGAACATCAAGAAGACACAAAATGTGTATGAACTGCAAGAGGTACGAAGGGCTTCCTTTCATTGAGGTCTACTTGTCAAGTAATGTAGTACTTGTTGAAATTTTTTTTTTTCTTCAAAAACTAGTCTGGACTCCAGGGTGTGTGCAAGACCCACTATGTCATTACTGAGGATTCGAAGGCTGACCGCATCCATTTGACCAAGACCAGGGACCTGAACCACTGCCCCGATAGGGTTTATTTGGACTTCGGCTTGGCAGGGTATATTGACAAATGTGTTGAGTGTCAGTCTGTAAGTGCAATTTTCCTTTCCCTCATAGTCTCTTTAACAAAACCAAAACTATTGGGTTTAAAGTTTTTTGTGTTATCTCAATGCAGCGGGCACAATATTTAAAGGGAGCATCTGCTGTATCCTACATCTTGAAGCCTTCAGCCTCTGGTTCCTTAATTTTGGAAGCAACCTCATCAGAGCTCATCCAGTTCTCACCGTTCAACATTGTGAATGGTGCTGCCCAGACAGAGACCAAGTATGTGATTTAAATTCTTGTAAAAAATATTATAACGGTACTGCAAGTGTCAAACAGCTAATTAACTTGATATTCCCAAATGCACCCAGGCAGACCTTGAAATTTCTGGACATAAAGATGACCCCAATAGAGCCCATCAAAGCTAACTACCTTCCCCGCGGATCACTGAAGTACGAGATAGGCACTGAGCTCCTCCAGACACCAATTCAGCTTCTGAGGATCAGTAATGTTGAGGCTCAGGTACTTTTTGAAACATTTATTTTCACTCTTGTTTTGAATGACATTCAAAACTTTATATTAGGATACATTTTGCTTCATAACAGAGCGTTGAGTCTTTGAAAAACCTGGTAGACTCCAATTTGGGCAAGGCCGATGAGGAATCCCCTCTGAAATTTATTGAGTTCATCCATCTGCTGCGTGTGGCCAAATATGAGACTATTGAAGCCCTCTGGAGCCAGTTCAAAGCCAGAAATGATTACAGGTAACGCCACTTGCACTCAGAAAAAATCTCATATGTAATTAGTTATGAATAATTGCATTTTTTTTTCTTTTTAAGGCATTGGTTGCTGAGTTCTATCCCGGCCATTGGTAACCATGTGGCTCTTAAATTTATCAAGGAGAAATTCATTGCTGATGATTTGACTTATTTTGAAGCAGCTCAAGCTTTGATCCCATCCATACTGTGGGTGGCACCCGACGTGGAGGCCATCAAGCTTTTGGAGGTGAGTTGATGTACAGGGCTTTTTTGTTTATTTGCAATGCAGTAGGAACAGCTGCATGTAATGAAGTTGTTGTTTTTTGCTCTGCAGGGCTTGGCTATGACCCCGAAAGTACAAGAAAGTCCATTTTTGCATGAGATTGCCATGCTGGGCTTTGGCAGCATGATTGACAAATACTGTGCTGCGCACCCTTCATGTCCTGCTGAGCTTGTCAGGGTGTGTGTTACGTCTACATTTTGGGTTCTAAAATTAATGTTCATTTCTTCCATTGATGATTGCATTGTTTTCCTGTTTTTTCTATAGCCTGTCCATGAGCTCATGGTCAGGGCACTTGAAAAACGTGACCACGATGAGGTCATTCTTGCACTCAAAGTTCTGGGTAATGCTGGACATCCCAGCAGCCTGAAGCCAATCATGAAGCTTCTGCCTGGCTTTGGCAACACTGCTTCCAATCTTCCACACAAAGTTCACATTGATGCTGTTCTGGCACTGAGAAAAATTTCAAAGAGGGAACCCAAGATGGTAAAGCAACACTTCTGACTTTCTTCTATGATAAAATATCAAATGTCTTTCTCTTGCATGATGATGTACTCCGAACATTGTCTTTTATGGTTTAGATTCAGGACACAGTTGTTCAGGTCTTCATGGACAAGCATCTCGACCCAGAGCTCCGTATGGTTGCTGCCATTGTGCTCTTCGAGACCAAACTGCCCATGGGTCTTGTGACTACTCTTGCTCAGAGCCTCTTGAAAGAAGCAAACTTGCAGGTTGCCAGTTTTGTCTACTCTTATATGAAGGCCCTTGCCAAGACCACCACCCCAGACCATTCCTCTGTGTAAGAACTAATGGCTCATTTTATTATTGAAACACAATGAAATACATTAAGTTATAGCTAATTGCTAATAATTTCCTTACAGTGCTGCTGCCTGCAGCGTTGCAATGAGAATCCTCAGCCCCCGATTCGACAGACTGAGCTACCGCTTCAGCAGAGCTTTTCATTATGATGCTTATTACAGTAAGAACATTACAGACATATAATGTACTTTCACAGATCTCACATGCATAGAAGGAGTTTGATTGTTTTGGTCTTTTGCCCCACAGATCCATGGATGCTGGGTGCCGCTGCCAGTGCCTACTACATCAATGATGTTGCAACCGTACTGCCAAGAACCATTATGACAAAAGCTCGCACCTACTTTTCTGGAACACATGCTGATGTTTTTGAGGTATGACATTCATGTTTTATACATTTTGCTAAATCTAAAAACTTGTTTTAAGGAATAAATACAAGTGTGCAACCTGTTCACCAGCTCCATTCATAAACAGAGGATTTTCCATTGCAATTTATGTCTGAAGATGATGAATGCTTTTTTTGTCAACAACCTTGACTACACTAATGTAGATATAAAGTATTCCAGTATTAGTTACAATTCAGAAAAATATATGAATGTCTTTTTTAACAGTTTGGAGCGAGAACTGAGGGATTGCAAGAAGCCCTTTTGAAAACCCGTGATGTTCCAGAGAGTGCAGACAGGATCACCAAGATGAAACAAGCTATCAAGGCTGTAAGTATAAAGGGCATTTTCAAAGTGAAAACAGAAATTGCTATACAAAAAAAAAAACATATTTTTAAAATACATTTTCGCACTGATAGCTGTTTTAAACTTGCAGTTTCGTTCTCATTACAGCTGACTGAGTGGAGGGCCAATCCTTCAAGGCAGCCCCTGGGCTCTCTATATGTGAAGGTTTTAGGACAAGAAGTTGCATTTGTAAACATTGACAAAGCAATGGTTGAACAGCTTATCCAGGTAGAACATCACTCAAAGTTTCCCATTTTTTGTATTTTTTAATGTTCTTGAATATAAGTGCTTGTTCTCATGAGTAACTATGTTTTAACAGCTTACAAATGTATTGGAAATTCGCACACGTGGCAAAAAGGTCTTGGATGCTCTGCTGTCTGGTTACACACTGAAATATTCTATGCCGATGCTGGCCGCTGAGATTCGTCGCATCTTCCCCACATCTCTTGGTTTACCCATGGAGTACAGTCTCTGCACCGCTGCTGTGGCTGCTGCATCTATTGAAGGTAAATTTTAGTCATGCATTTTATCATTTGACAGTCTGAGAGTGTGGTAGACTGAATGTAAAAAAAACATGTTCCTTTTCATAGTAAAAGCCACGGTGTCGCCACCTCTGCCTGAGGACTTCAATCCTGCACAGCTTCTTAAGTCCGACATGTCTTTGAAGTCTGCAATTACTCCAAGGTGACCCCACTTGTACAGGTTTTCATGAACTGAAAAAGGAACATTCGTTGCTAAATCTGTTCATTTCTCTACATTTTGCAGTGTTTCCATGCACACATATGCAGTTATGGGTGTGAACACTGCTTTCCTCCAGGCTACTATGGTGACAAAAGTTAAAGTTCACACGATTGTTCCTGAGAAGATGGAGGCAAGACTTGATATGAATAATGGCTACTTCAACCTCCAGCTCCTGCCTGTTGAGAGAGTTAACCCAATTGCATCTGCACTGTGTGTACATGTTTTTATCATCCACATAAAACTAACTTCAATGTTTGTTTGGATTGAGTGTAATTGAAAAAAGTTTTTTTTTCTGCAAAAGTGTGGAAACCGTTGCGGTTGCGAGAAATGTGGAAGACCTTGCAGCTGCCAAAATCACACCGATTCTCCCAGTTGAGACTTTAACAAGGATGAATGTCACCTCTACATCTTCATGGATGTCGTCCTCTCTGGATGATATGATGGTAGGTGGGATTTTTAAAATCTTTTAACTACGATAACATTTTGAGTAACTCCTCATTGTGGTTTTACAGCCTGAATCATCTGAAAGTCTTCCTGTTAACATGAAATGGTCAAAAATGAGCAAATTAAAAGTCCCCAGAGCTTTTTGGAGGAAACTGTGTGTTGCAACCCAAACATTTGGAATCAAGGCTTGTGCTGAGATTGAATCCAGCAATGCCACCTTCCTCAAAAACACCCCCCTGTACGCCATAATGGGAAAACATGCTGTTAACATTACAGTTTCTCCAGGCAAGTGAAACTAGTGAGCTGATTTTTTTTCACCAAAATGACTAAACAGATATAATTGCAAACCAACTATGTTAAATTTATTTGTATTTCAGCTGCTGGGCCAGCTATCGAAAGAATTGAAATTGAGGTTCAGGTTGGAGAAAAAGCAGCTGATAAGCTCATTAAGGTAATTAACCTTAGTGAGGAAGAGGAGCCTCTTGAGGACAAAAATGTCTTGATGAAACTGAAGAAGATTCTGGATCCTGGTCTGAAGAACAGCACATCCGTTTCATCTAGCTCAAGCAGCTCTCGGTCCACCAGCTCTCGCTCCAGCAGCTCTCGTTCAAGTTCCTCTTCCTCCAAGAGTTCTTCCAGCTCCTCCTCTCACCGCAGGAGTATGATGATTGATCTTATGGAACTCATGGATATAAAATCAAAGAAATCATCCAGCAGCTCATCCAGCAGATCCTCCAGCAACTCCTCCAGAAGGAGTTCAAGTCGCCGCTCAAGAAGCTCATCCAGCAGTGCTTCCAGCAGCCGTTCATCTCCCCAGTCCAGCAGTGGGACTCCCAGCTCTAGTGCCTCCAGTTCCAGCTCCATGTCTAAGGTGAGTCTGATGTCAAAACCTATATGGAAAAACCTTTCCATGACAACTGGAAGCAATGTATAACATTTTATTTATTTGTATTTCTACTACAGCAAGAATTGTTTGAAATGAACTTCACCAGGCACCACATTCACCAGGTAATTATCAATTTTCTCATTAATCAGAAGCTTTTGTCCAAAAAGGAAAATAAAATGTCACATTAGGGACAATTTTCTAATGATGTACAAGCATTTCTGAGCAAGGTAAATGTGTTTATTTGCAGCATTCCGTCTCTGCAGAACGTACTAGCAGCAAGAGCAGTGCCCAGAGCTTTGAAGCTATTTATAATAAGGTGAGTCAATGGATCAAGATGTTTGCAGGCATGTGCAATCAAATGCAAAATAAATAAACAAATAAAAAGTATCACATATAACTGATGCATATTTGTTTACACTTGCAGGCCAAATACCTCTCCAGCACTGTCAAGCCAGTGGTCACCATTCTCATCCGTGCTGTCAGAGTCGACCACAAGAACCAGGGTTATCAGATCGCAGCATACTATGACAAAGAAAATGCCAGAGTCCAGGTTATTGTCGCCAACCTCACTGAAAATGACAACTGGAGAATCTGTGCCGATGGTGTCATGCTGAGCCACCACAAGCTAATGGCAAGTATTTACATAAAGACTACTACAAGACAGAGGAAAATAACAAACTGCTTGAGATTTGATGGCTTGCATTTTAATTCAGGGCAGGTTTACTTGGGGCATCGAATGCAAGCAGTACAACACTACAATCACAGCTGAGACTGGCCATGTTGCTACAAAGCCTGCACTCCGTGTGAAGCTGGCCTGGGCTAGACTCCCTGAGGGCGTGACGCGATATGCAAAATGGTAGCATCACAAACTGAGGAACATTTGTATATGATCTCAGACATTCGGGTTGAAATGTGGGAACCAATTAATTTTGCAACACGTCCTATAATGTATTTATTTTTAAAATCTTGACCTGCTTGTCTGTTTAGGGGTTCTGAGTACCTTTCTCGTGTTGCTGTGTGGTATGGAGTAAATCAAACAAGAGTTTCCAATGTAGCTAAAGAGATCAAACTGACTGTAGCTGTTGCCAATGAAACAAGCTTGAATGTTACGCTGAAGACACCAAAGGTGCGTTGTTGCAAAACTATTTTCATTCAGCGTAGTTTTTGTTTGCTTTGTGCGCCTTAAACAAATATCTGCTGTGATTAATATTACAGAGCACCTTTTACAAACTGGGAGTCAGTCTGCCTGTTTACCTGCCAATCAGAGACACTGCTATTGAACTGGAATCATTACCTACCTGGAGAAACAAGATCACCTACATGGTCACCAAGGCACATGCAGGTGAACTGACTGAATATTTTTCCACTTAAATATTCCTAAAATCTTTAAGCGGCTATTTTCTGATATTTTTTCTTTTAATTTTCCATTCCAGCTGAGTGCAATGTGCTTAAAGACACAGTGGTCACATTCAACAACAGAACGTACAAGACTGAGATGCCAATCTCTTGTTACCAAGTCTTGGCTCAAGATTGCACATCAGAACTCAAATTCTTAGTTCTGCTGAGGAGGGACCAGACACACGAAAGGAATGAGATAAATATCAAGATTCACAACATGTAAGAGACACCAGTGAGACAAAACAAAAAAGAGAATCTATTCCTGAAGTCCACAAAAATAATTTGTATTGAAACTTTTTCCAACAGTGACGTTGACATATATCCCAAGGACAATGCCATCATTGTGAAGGTTAATGGAGTAGAAATCCCTGCCAACAACCTGCCATATCAGCATCCAGAAGGTGTTTTGTTTGTCACATGAAATTAAATTAACCAGCCAGACTACGTTAATTCAGTTTATCAAAAACTAAAATGTCCGTATTACCCATATTTTCATTTATTACAGGCAGCATAACAATAAGAAAGACAGATGACGGCATCTCTCTCATTGCTCCTAGCCATGGCCTTCAGGAGGTCTTCTACAGCTTCAGTGAAGTGAAGGTGATACAAAAATTCATCTTAATATAGGAATTCATCAAATCCCATAGACATAATGGTGTCATCATGAGAGCTGTTTGTTTTCCAGGTTAAAGTTGTAGACTGGATGAGAGGTCAGACTTGTGGACTGTGTGGAAAGGCCGATGGTGAAGTCAGACAGGAGTACCACACACCCAACAACCGGGTGGCCAAGAACGCAACCAGCTTCTCTCATTCCTGGGTTCTACCAGGAAAGAGCTGTCGTGATGCTTCTGGTAAACTTTACAACCTCTGTTTAACTTTCTCTTTTAAAATAGTGGTACTCAACGGGCTAAAAAAATGGAATTTGGGATAAAGAACAGTAAGCTAAAGACTTCTGAATGTAAACAGGCATGATTTAATTGCTTACCCTAAACTTGAACTATTTTCTAGAGTGCCTCATGCAGCTGGAGTCTGTGAAATGGGAAAAACAGGCCAACCTGGATGGTGAGCAGGCCAAATGCTACTCAGTTGAACCTGTGCTGCGCTGTCTGCCTGGCTGCATGCCAGTGAGAACCACCTTCGTCACTGTTGGTTACCACTGCGTGCCTATTGGTGAGTCTGAAAGAAAGTAAATTTTACAGTCTTTCTTGAAATCTTACCAGAAACAATTCTGCACTGCTTTACTCTCCTCCCTGTTGCAGAGTCAAACATGAATCGTCCTGATGCTCTCAACAACATCTACGAGAAGAGCATTGACCTGATGGAGAAGGCTGAAGCCCATCTGGCCTGTCGTTGCACACCTCAGTGTGCTTAAACTGGTTGACTTTGGACATTTTTTCGTTTTATTTTTATGTGATATGCAAGCTTGTGTACTTGAATAAAGAAGCATGTGCAGTAAATGCATGTTGTGGTCTTTTATTATATAAAAAAAGCTTATATGTCTTCATTCATTTTGAGCTTTATATCATGCTTTACAATACTACCACTTATAATGTAACAGTCTTATATAAATATTATTATTGGTTTTATTGTTCAAAATATGTCAGTGCTTTAAAAGATATATTATAATATAGGCTCAGATAGACAGGATATATCCAGAACAAGAACTACTACTACTACTACTACTAGTAGTAGTAGTAGTATAGTAGTAGTAGTAGTAGTACTAGTACCACTACTACTACTACTACTACTACTACTACTACTACTACTACTACTAATAATAATAATAATAATAATAATAATAATTAAGACTTATTAGATAATGAGACAAGTGCAAACATTTAAACAGACAATTAGTGGACAAGGAAAAAAACTTGACATGAACTAAAAGAAAAGTTGTTTTTCAACAAATGGTAACAATTTATAGAAAAAAAATTCTAAAACATATATTACATTATAAATGTTACAAACACAAACAATCCAATATCACATATATATATATATATATGGCAGGATGCCGAGGGAAGAGCTGTGGTGTTGTATGAGGCAGAGGAGAAGTATGTTCGATTGGTACAGGACATATATGAAGACAGCAGGACAGTGGTGAGATGTGCTGTAGGAGTGACACAAACTCTCTGTCATCAGAACTTTACACCATCGGGCCGAATGCGTCCCCATGAAGACCGAAGGGAAGGTAAAGGAACAGAAACACATTCAAGAAGCTCTCCAAACATGTGGATATCCTAACTGGGCTTTTGTCAAGTCAGCGAGGAAATCTACAAAACACCCTAATAAACAGAAAAAGGAGAACAACAGACGTAAAAACATTGTCATCCCTTATGTTGCTGGAGTATCAGAGAAATTCAGAAGGATTTTCAACAAACACAACATCCCAGTACATTTCAAACCCAGCAGGACTCTCAGACAGAGGCTGGCCCACCCTAAGGACAAAACACCCATACACAAACAGAGTGGTGTAGTGTATGCGGTCCAATGCAGCGAGGACTGTCCAGACCTCTACATTGGAGAAACTAAACAGCCTCTTCACAGACGCATGGCTCAACACAGGAGAGCTACTTTCTCAGGACAAGACTCAGCTGTTCACCTCCACCTCACAGATAAGGGACACTCTTTTGAGGACCAAAATGTGCACATTTTGGACCGAGAACAGAGATGGTTTGAGAGGGGGGTGAAGGAAGCAATTTATGTAAAAAGAGAAAAGCCATCTCTTAACAGAGGAGGGGGCCTCAGATTTGCACTTTCAAAAACCTATAATGCAACTTTAAGACATATTCCCAGCCAGTTTTCACACCTGATGGGAACAGAGGGGTCTCATCTGTGAATTAGAGGAACAAAGACCTTAAGAAACCCCTACTGTTAAGGTGTTGAGGTGTGACTTGTCAAATCTACATATGTGTGTGTGTCTTATATCACTCAGCCTTATAACCTGAACCTCTCACTTACTGCTCATTGAATTGAGAAAGCTCCTCGGATGAGGAGTGAAACGTCTTCTGTTACAAATAAAGTCCAGTTGTTTTTGTATTGAATGTTTTTTGAATATATTATCTGTTATTTTTTTAAAATATATATCTTGTGTGATTCCTTTGTACTGAAACTCTGGCACAACAGTTTCCTGTGGGATCAATAAAGTTATCTCTCGCTCTTTAAATATGGCAACATCATTCACGAGGGAGGGAAGTAGTTTTTATCACAACACCCGTGGTGTCTCCCAGAACGAGTTTAAGCACATGTGCATATATAGCACCAGATGTGCACTTGGTTTTCATTATTTAAACAGGTTAATCCCATTGAGGCTCGGGGACTCATTTACAAGAGAGACCTGATTTCTTTAATAAAGAGTGATGACAACGTTGGGTTAGGGGATTCTGATAGCAGTAAAGCAGAGAGTCCCTTGTACTGGCCATGCATGTTTGCTGCTCCATCTGTTGAGTTACACAGTTCTGGAGATCAGCCTTTGCCAGAGTATCCTTAAGTAGCTGAACAAAATACTCTCCTGTTGATGACTCGCATGAAATGACAGAGATAAGTTTTTCATGGACCATGTCAGTCACATACCTTCGGACCAAAGCACACTGCTCTGTGGAGGTAACATCTTGTGTCATATCTAGAAAACATTCCTGCCTCCCTTATGTCCCTTGAAATGTTTTCTTTGATCAAGTGGCTAATGATGTCACTTATTTTGTTGACAGATGTGTTAGAGAGCAGTGTAACAAGGGATCTTTTCCCTTTTGCCCCAGTTTCCTTTATACTCTTGCTTTTCTTTATACACTCATTAAGGATTCAATGATTCGAGGTTCTTTATATGTTCTTTAAGTTGTTCTTTATGTGTGTTCTTTATTCATTCAACCGCATGTGGTACATGCGGTGGAACAAAATTGTGTCCACAGGGTCCCAGTTACATTCAATAAAAATATTAAAATGTAAAAGAAAAATAGTAATAAGCTCTAAGATATGAACTAAGAAGAACATTAATAAAAAAAATTAAAAAAACACAAAGCACTAGCAGCATAAAAACAATACGCCAGGGAAAGTGTGTTTGTTCCTTTTGAAGTCTACAACCATCTCCTTTGTCTTCTTCACATTATGATGTGAAGGTTATTCTCTTTGCAGTAGCTCTTCAGGTGTTCCACCTCCTTCCTGTAGCTGGACTCATCGTTGTTTGTGATTCATCCCACCACCACTGTATCATCTGCAAACTTTACAATGACAGCCTGGATGGGTAGGTGCACAGTCATATGTGAGCAGAGTGAACATGAGAGGGCTCAACACACAGCCCTGTGGGAGTTTGTGAAGAAGTCTAGGACCCAGTTGCAAATGGAGGGGCTTAGTCCTAGTGTGAGTAGTTTGTCCATCAGGGTTTGGGGATCATGGTATTGAAGGCAGACGTGAAGTCCACAAAGAGCATACGGACGTAGGAGTCCTTCTGCTCATGGTGGGTGAGAGCAGTGTGGACCACAGAGGAGATGGCGTCCTCTGTTGAACGATTCTCACAGTATGCATACTGGTGAGGGTCCTTGTTGATGTTGATGGTTGTTTTGATGTGAGTCATGACCAGTTTTTCGAAGCATTTAGTGACTATCAGGGTGAGGGCTACTGGCCAGTAGTCATTCAGACCAGGCACTGTAGAGCTCTTTGGGACTGGGATGATGGTGGCAGTCTTCAGACAGGCGGGAACTGTTGCCAGTGTAAGTGAGGAGTTAAAGATGTCGGCCAGCACTTTGCAGAGCTGATCGGCACAGTCTTTCAGCACCTTCCTGGGGATGTTGTCTGGGCCGGTTGCTTTGTGAGGATTAATCCTCCTGAAAGTACTCCTTACTTGGGTTGAGGTCACGCTGAGCAGCTCTTCTTCCGGTGGTGAGGTGAGTCTAGTGCTGGGTGGTTTGCTCGGGTCTTCAAAGCATGCGTAGAACTTGTTGAGGGCATCAGGAATGATGGGTCTCTAGGGCATTGTTCTCTTCTGCTTTTATAATTTGTAATAATACACTTGATACCCTCCACATGCTCCATGGGTCTTGTGAGGTGAATTGACCCTGGATCCTCTTTGCATATGTAGCCTTGGCCCTCTTAATACCACCAACCAGCTCTTTCCTTGTCCTTCTCAGCTCCTGTGAGTTTTCAGACCTGAAGGCAGTGTTCCTGGCTTCCAGCATGGTGCAAACCTCTGCATTCAGACAAAGCTTCCTGTTTGGGTATCTCTTAACATATCTGATGGTGGTGACATCATCAGCACATTTACTAATGTACCCCAGGACTGAGGATGTGTATTGCTCCATGTCTAGTGTCCCCTCATTTTCATCTGCTTCTCTGAAGTTTAACATGTTACAAGATACAAGCTACAAGATTAACATGTTCTCGGTGAGAAACATCAAATTTGCTTAAAAGCAGGATCATTTCCAAGAAGTTTCCATGATTAAGAGTCATATTCCCAAGTGTATCCAGCCTCAAAACTAGTGCCCCTCTACCTAAGACCCCACTTTCCAATGACCTTTATTACATCTATGACACGACCCATGACTTGACGTTTTTTTCTGACCTGCTCATGTTCAGATGTTACTTCATCAAGTACCATTTGTTTTCCTCCAAGTAGATTTGCTATGTCTGCTTGGTTGGCCTTCATAAAATATGCTTCAGCACTATCTCAATGTACTTGGTGTCTTTCATGTTCTTTTATTATTTAATGTACTGTAGGATTTAAGAA